TACCAAAAACTTATGTCTGTTTAGCCCATTTATACAGCTGCTTAGCGCAACTCCGGCCAATGGGAGAAAGGCTTCCCATATACACAAAACTCTTCAAATAGTTGTTGCCCAACCTCAAGTTGCATTGTTTACTTATTGTTGTAGTTGCTGTTGTTGATTGTGGCACTTTGTGACTTAAGGCCACAAAAAAAAAAAAAAAAATACAAACAAATTTAATTGCACAGTGCAACAAAATTCAGTTTTGCGTGCGATTCGCTTTGGTTTTTGGCTTCGTGACTTGCAAAACAAAAAAAATCTTAAAAATTTAATGACACACACACACACACACACTTGATAATTCTTTGGCCAGCTTCAATTTTGAGCTCCCAATTTCTGTTTTTATGTGTTTTCAGCTGTTCATTTCTTATGCAAGATCTATTATAATCTATTAAATCGTAGCAGAGCCTAGCAATTATATATCTATTTGTTCGACTTCCCTCAGATAGTTTCAGTAATTTCGACTGTTTCTTGCATTATCGAACGCCCCACATTTGTGCCACACTTCCAGCCCCGTGCCGAGCTGCATTTATTTGCATACATTTGTGGTTTTTTTTTTTTTTTTATTTGGGTTTACCTATTTGACTATCTGGTAAAAAGAAAATGAACAAACAACACAGAAAGACTCCAGTGCTTAGAGCCCACAGCTAATTTGGCACAATTACTTATCGACCAAATGCAAATATGAACTGTTTGGGGTGGCTTACTCTGAATATGTATCTATGCCAAGGTATGCACAGTTACTTTTGGAGTGCTTTAACTAGTTGTGAATTATAAGTAAAAATAAGTAAAGCGCAATTTGATAAGCCAACTCTAAATTTGCAATGTATATTTCTACTTTTTATTAATTTACGTGATTTTTAGGTACACTTTATTGAATCTTATAGATATGCGTATGTACTAACATAAGTTTTATGTATTCAAAGCCTTTAACTCTTATTGAAAATAACTGAAAAACCCTTTTGCCTCATATTTCATCAACATTCTACTATATCTTACATGTTACACATACGAATACTTAATGCTATTTACAACTTTGTATTATAAGAAAAAAATCATGGCATAAGACTTCTTTGCATATCATAATTATCCTAGTTTAGTAGAGAATATATATGTGTGTAGCCACATTTTAAACAGTTGATTGTCCTTTTTTAGTAGTCACTACTATTTTCATGAACAACATTCAGTACTCAGTCGCACTTCAATGCGTATACTTAATATAAGAAACATTCAAAGACGTAAGCCTAATATCAATTTCAATGTCCATATATGTCTATGCATAAGCTATAATCAGAGCTAGCAAGACAGCTGTTATAAATATACATATATTATGCACATATATATGTTTATGCCTTTAATTATGATTTATTCCAAATTCTATTTTTTCCATTTTTATCCAAAAACAAATCTAGCATTTTTTTGGGCTTGGTTTATCTTGATCTTTCTTCTATAATTTAAGCATAAATTCATTTTTTTCTTAGCTCGTAAAACAATAAGCCTAGCTGTTTCTTGTTGCTTGGCGGCTTCATGCTGAATGACAATACAATGAATGCGTAGGCCATTTACCTGATGCAGAGAGCCAGATGTAAGTTGAAAAAGTGCCGCAGGCAAAGAGTTAGGATTATTTATTTGCCATGTGCCAAGCGCTTAAAGAACAACAACAAGCAGAACAAGAACACATTTGGTCGCTGTATACATATATATATATATATATATATATAAATATGACTCTGAATGGGGTCAGAAGCCAACAAACATCAATAACGGAGCGTGTGTGCCGCACACACACATATATTCATCACAGGTAGATGCTGTCCGAGCGATTGGCTAATTTAACATAAAAAAGCAGGTTATTAACCTCTACAAAGAAAATAAAATTTGAGATAAACATCAGGTAGATCATATTGAGCTCCATCAATCTATAAGACATACAAACAATTTGCATTGCGTGTGCATTTGGTAGGGGGGAAAGGCCCCAGCTGTCATGTTTCATAAGTATACCCCCCCCCCCCCTCCGATCCCTTCAAAGTCAATAAACTATATCTGTCTATTGACAACATTTGCTCCAAATAAACTCAAATATTTGCTTATTTCTTTTTTGTAGCAACGACAACGTAGACAAATAAATAAATACCACAACTATGCAACGTGGCCGAGCACAATCGATATTATCAATTGACACTCAAGAAGAGGAAGAGACAAGCTGCATTAAAAAAATTTAAACAAACAAATAAACGACGAGCAAAGAATGGAAAAAACAAGCAGAAAAAAGACAATAAATTGTTGGCATAGAAGTCTGTGACAACGTATTCGTAAGTGCACTGAGCGAAAAGATATATGAAAAATGAGCATGAGAACTTCGGCTGAAACACACTGAGCTACACAGCAACAATTGTAGCTTAGTTTTATATGAAACTAGAGCTACACAATTAAAATGATGTCCTAAGTTTTATTTGCACAAACTGGAAAACAATTCACAGCTGCACTGCAAGAAAAATATATAAAAACTGTATAGGAATTCTGGCTAAACTATATATTTCTTAAATGGAACTAACAGATGCAGCTGTAGCTTAAAAGAATTTCTTTTGTTAACATAGAGGAAAAAAGAATTCTGAAGTATATACACTGAGAAAAAAATTATATAGGAAATTCTTTAAAAACTTTCAGCATAAAGTTTTGAACTAAGAAACGTGGCTATAGCTTAGTTTTCTATAAAGTTTTTCTGCAAAAAAAAACTTTGATTTGAGTTAGTCAATGCACTGAGAAAAAATTACTGAAAGAGCTTAAGAAGCAAGAGTCAATCTAAAAGGCAATGAAGCAGAAGCTTCAGTTAGTTCATATTACATTTATATAAAACAAAGCTAAGGAATTTATTTTTCTGGTATTTTATTTAAGCGAAAAATATTTCTAGAATTGAGTATAAAAGACAAATTTAAAAGTAAGTTTATCATAAGGTAGCTAAGTTTTATACAAAAAAAAAGCTACAAAAATTAGCCTGAACTTTCTATAGCTCCATAGTTCTATAGTTGGATATTCAAATAAGTTTCAGTATCAAAAAAGATTTATTATGCTAAAGAATTACAGTTATGGTCAATCGCATATATAATATTATATACATAAATGTCTATTACGATATTATAATGTCAAAACTGATTTATTTAGCTACAAAATGTATATGAATATATTTTCAGAAACATCTCATATTGTGTTTCGACCTGGTTCGACAATTCTATACAAAGTTGCACAAGCAAAGCAATTGAAAATAAATCAAATTAGATATAGATCTTGAGGAGCGCCTTATAGAAAACATGTAAATATTTCTTTGCTTTATATAAAGTCTCACAAATTGTGTCTAGTTCCCATTGATAGTCCAATTGGGCGGCGTTTGGCAAACGTGCGTTGCTTGCAAATAGATAAACGAACAAACAGGGGGAGGAGAAAGATACAAAATAGGTGCCAAGTGTTATATATATGCACACATACACACACACACACACACACACACTCGCACAGACAATCGTCTAAAGCGCAATGTAATGTAATGTAATTAGTGAGGGTTTGCACAGCGTCAAAATGTAATTTGCGCTTGTGAAATGTGTCTGGGGATTGGGCCTGTGTGTCACACGTGACCCAAAACCGCCTAAAGACCAAACCCTCCCTCGGAACGAAACTCATCCCCTAGCTAACAAAACAAAACAAAAAAAAAAAAAAACAAAAATAAAAAAAACTAAATGCAAAACCTGGCAAATGCGAAAAACTGACCAAGTCATTAGGTTTCATTGCGCGCAACGCTAATGAACCCGGATATATATATGCATATTCATATAACTATATATATCTCATTATATATAGTACATAGACACATATATGTAGTTTCGTATATATAATCGTTCGTCTTTTATCAAGAGTTAAGCATATGTTTGTGCGCCACGCATTTCGTATCGAATGAGCATAACAATTTCGTCTATTGAAACTGAATTTCAATTTTAATTTTTGTTTTGAAGTCGAATTCGAATTCGAATTGAAATTGTAATAGAAAATTGAAATTGAATTCAAATTTGTCGCACTTAAAGAGATTGGAAAAATTGTTTACGGCTCTGATAAACAAGATTTTTCGTGTTTGTGTTTTTGAGCAAAATTCTTGGCACTTAATGAACCACAACGCAAGAGCTAGATAAATGTCATAAACAGATGTCAAAATGGACCAGATAGAAGAGTAGATACCCTGTTAAGTTAGCTGAAATCGATTTGTTATCGATGACATACCAAGTCAATTTTAAAAATAAAAACAAAAACCAATTTATGCAAACATAATAAATTTACTAAATATGTCATCTAAAATTAAAAAATTGAGAATAAATATTTATCGATATATTATTATATTTTAAGTGTATGTATTTATTTTCTGAATTATATATATACTATAGATATACTATAGAGCAGCTGATTGTAACTAGCCCTCTCTTACGGTAAATAATAAGCCAACATATGGACACAAAAATTGTTGCACCTTGTTTACTTGGAAACGCCAAATCGATATTTATCGAAAAGCAAGAAAAAAGCAGTTACCGTATTTGTTACCAATATATTTTGCAGCTCTGGCTTTTAAATTCAGCAAAATCAAAAAGACATATGGATCAAGAATGAGTATATCATATATATACGCGACGCAATGTCGTCTATGTGCCCCCTGCTGCCAGCTGAGCAGCATATTTATACCCCTTTTTAAGCATTCTTAATGGGCACGCGGAATATACATATAAAAAACAACAACATTTTTAACGAGCTACACAACGGGGCAAACTTTTCAGCGCCATATGCTACAGTTGCAAATAGGTTGTGCGTGTGTATGTGTGTGGGTGTGGTTGCGGCTATAGCAGCCACTTGTGGGTGGCCACCTCTGGTGTAGGGGTAGCTCAGTAGCCACAGAGAGAGGGGCGAATTTTATTGGGCGTGACATTTACCTTAGCATTACTGTAGGATGCTGCAGCTGTGGTGGTAGTGGTGGTGGCGGCGGCGGCTGCGGCAGCGGCAGCTGCTGCGGCTGCGGCTGCTGATGTCGAGGCAGATGAGTCGAGCCAATTTTCCGGTTTCATTTAAAAATCTGTTGTGGGCGGCAAAAACCGCACAAAAATGTTGCACAAAAAAAGAGTTACAAAAATTTCAAGTGCGCACTTTTTCAGTTGCGTACGCGGGCCGTTGGGGGGCGCTGCGTGACAACTTTTCAATTGCACTTGGCACTAGCTGCTGCTGCTCTTCTTCTTGTTGTTGTCTTGATTTTGTTCACTGCACACACTGTACACACACACTCGCGCACGCACACAGAGGCAAACAAGAAATATATATAAAAACACACACGAAATAGAAACGAAACTCTGCGCGCTTCTCTTATTTTATTTTCTTTTTTGCTTCCTTTCTTCTATTTTAGTTAAACGCTTTTTGGCACACACGCACACAGCTGCACTTTAGAGCGAAGCGGCCTCTGGCGGCCCAACATATGTTAGATTTAACGCCAGTTGATAGAGAAGCTTCTGTTGCAATTGCTGTTGTCGTTGTTGTTGCTCTAGCAAACATATGTTTGGCCAGCCAGGCACGTACGCAGCTTTGCTAGGGCGTAAAGAGAGTGTGAGAGAGAACGAGCAAATGAGCAGGAGTATGCAGGCAGGCTGACAGGCTGACGACAATAGGCGAGCGTATGTTGTTAGGATGTAACGGTAAGCGCTGTGTGTTTCTCTAGAATGTTCTCGACTCGCTTGTGTGAGCGTTCTTTTCTCTTGCTTCTTTTGCTAGCTTCAGTGGCTTATGCACGGAATTTTGCATACACTACGCATTTGTATGTTGATTAAGCTTGGGTCGTCTGTTTTTAGCACAAACTTCGTTCGCTAAGTTATCGATCTCGTATTAATATGATTGCTGCTGCTGCTCTCTACAAATACAACATATGTATGTTTATATATATATATTTGCTTAATTCTCACTCTATATATATGTATGTATGTATGTATGTTTGTTTGTTTGTTTGTTTGTAGCTATATTTAAGAATTCTTTTAACAACTTTGTTTCTTAATATCTTTTTTCTCTTTTTTTTTTGTTTGTGCAGCTCCGCTGTGGACTTGTTGGGGCTTTCGTGCGCGGTCACTCTCGTTGAACGACTGAATTCAACGGCAATCGCTGGTGGCATGAAACTTGACTACGCGGTAACCAAGCAAACGGCAATTGAGTGAAAACGCAAGCAACAGCAGCAACGGCGGCAGCAACAGCAGCAGCGACGGTCGGCAGCGGCAGCGGCAGCGTCAGCAACGGACGCGGTCGCAACAGCAAAGCTCTCAAAAGCACAAGTGCGACTCTTGAATTGAGTGAAAAGCACAACAAAAAAGAAACACAAAAAAGAAAAAAAAACTTGTCAAGCATTGCGGTTGCTTTAGCTCTAGGTATAGCCGCCGCCGCTGCTGCTGCTGCTGCTGATCCCATTCGAAAGTTTAATTATATTTGCGCCACCGACACTAGTTGCTATGCTGCTGCTGCTGGTGGTGCTAGCTACTGTTGTTGCTATTTGGATTTTCGAAACCGGCAAGGCGCGCAGAGCAACAACAACAGTATCAACGCTGACAACTGCGGCGTCGGCTGCGTTCGATCAGCACCAGCAGCAAAGAAGCACAAATTATACGCGCTTATTGTTATGGTGCTCTACGCGTTTGTGTGTGTGTTTTGGTATTGGTGCGTTTGGCAGCAGCAGAATTACGTCAGAAATGCTCATACACATACACACACATGCAAACAAGCTGCTCTGCTCACAGCGAAGCTTTGCACTAAAAGTTTTCTTATACGAATTTCGTGCGCCGCTCTTTTTTTGTTTTCAATTCATGCGCGACCCAAAGCTACGCGACCCAAGCGCACACACAGTTTCATACACATATACACTCAAATGCCTAGTTAGGCTACTCACAAAAAGCTGCACCGGCGACGGCCGAGCGAAAACAAAAATTAAATTAATTAGAAATAAATATTGTGCACACGCACGCACACCAGCGCACAGTTTACGTATGTGTGTCTGTGTGCGTAATTAATGCAATTCACTTTAAAGCGTATCGAAATGGCAGCCACGACAAAAGCAATAACAACTCTCCGCAAAAACAACTGTAAAAATGGATTTTTTGTTTTCTTTGCATGCGATTTTTTTTGTTGATTTGTTCAATTTTGTCGCCTGTTTATTGTTGCTTTTGCTTATTTATTTTTGGCATTGTTTATTTGCAAAGATTGCACTGCGCTAACTATATTTATATTTCATTCGAAAATCTTCTTAATCCTCATTTGAAAACAAATTCAAAATATCACGCATTCGCAGCGTCTGGCCCTCGTTCTGTAAAAGAGCTCAACGAGTCGTCTTATGCACTTGTCTCTTTAGACATTTAGTCAACAACAACAATGTGTTTTGCACTTCAAATATAATTTGACATATGCTAATTCTTAAAAGAAAAATATTAAGGGTAATCCTTGGAGTTAATTCTTATTTATCAATCAAATAAATAATTATAAAAATATAATATAAATATTAGGGGTATGTTTGCAATCTATATATTATAAGCAAAAATAATATTTTTTTTTAATTTTTCGCAAAAAAAAAAAAATAATGGCTTTTATTCATTAACGCTATATATTTAAAAAAAACATAAAGGGCGTACCTACAATTAAAGTAATTTTTTAATAATATATAAAAATATTTATAAAATTGTTTGAATAATTTTATTATATGTATTCATATGCCATAAAATCCTGCTTCTTTATAAGTTCAAAATTCACTGAAAAGTTGTTGCCTTAATTGTTTTCCATGGCTATCCTCTATTAAATTAGTTAAATATATATATATATATTTTTTTTTTTTTTGGTGACATTGACTAATTTATGCATCCAATCTATCTACCTACTCATTTAATATAATTAAAGCCATATAGACATATACTATACATGTGTATATACATAGCTGGATTGTAGACTTGTAGAGTGTCTATAATCAAAAGTCAAAGTCAATGGCAATGAAAAAAGCAAATATATATATAAATATATATGTATATAGAAAATTGTATTCTTTATAACTTGGCTAAGAGACAAAAGCCAATTATTGTGTGCAGCCAGTTTTGATAGCTGATTCGATTGATTGAACGACTGTACATGAAATGATTTTTGATAAGCTTCATAGTTAGATAAATTCAAGTAGAACTTTTATAAAGATATAAAAAACTGAAGCAGAGAGCAAAATCTTCATGAATTGAAGAATCCGTCAAAAAGCGAGATATTTCTATAATGAAAGTTGTAGATAGATACAATTTCCCCACGGCATAAAGCTCAAATATTCATATGATTTTTTATCAATATCTGTTTGAAACTATTTCAATTTTGCTTACATTTCTTATATGTACTTATAAGTCGTTGTAGCATCGTTGTTTAAAAGGGTTTCCGAGTTGTTTTTATTGTTTATCAGCAAGTTCTTATCGATATCGATTGAGTGTCAAGTGTAAAATGGTTATGTGAACTGAAGAATGTTGAAAATAAATAAAAAAGGGCTTGACAAAAAGGCTGCTTAATACTTAAACTGGATCTATAAATGAAAAGTTCTATTTAAATAGGAATTATTTACATTACTTTCAAGAAGAGTGCGCTGAACTCGCTCTCGCTTTTTTTTAATATGATATATATATATATATATATATATATATATATATATTATATATATTTATATGAATGCCTATATAGCAGCTGTTGCTAGGCTACTGATAGCAACAGTAGCGACAAGCAAACAGGGCTCACCATGCTCGCTCAAAAAGTGATAAAGCGAGTATTTGGGTTTTGTGGAATGTTCATCAAGCTTTTTATCTGTTTGCCACCAGAAAGAGCATTGATACAAGTATGTGGAAACAAAAGAGGCGCGGCAAATCACAACGAAATGCCACAATTTTAGAGCCAACTTGCAGCTGGATAAGAATTTATCAGACTTGGCAGATTATACGTCCGTTTGGCAGACTTGAACTATTCGTCCGTCCATCCGCTTGTCATGTTCAGGGTATCTCTGAGTCGAGCACGCTCAACTTGAGCGGCCTAACTTGATTTGGCATACATTTAGCTTAAGTCTAGTGCCTTGAACGCGCATTAAGCAGTCGTTGACGCCCAGCCGCAAAGTTCTTGCTTGTTCTTATTTCGTCTTTTAGTTATATTTAGAAGTAGCTGCTGCTTATCGAAGTTCTTTTCTTTTTCATGTGGCCCATTACCCTTGACAACAAATAGCTGAGCATGTGTGTGTGTGTGTGTGTTATATTTACTCTAATTGTCGTTCGGCTAATTGCAATTAGGGCGCGCTGCATTCAAACACAACACGTGCCCAAGAGATAGAAAATAAATGCAAATAGAAAGGCGTCTATATCTATATATAGTAAAACAATGGAATAAGCAAGAAAAACAGATATTTTATATATTTATATATATATATATATTTTATAAAGTCGTCGTTTAAAACAAAAGCGAATTTCTGCATGTGACTTGGGCGTTAACTAAAATTGTTGAACTATACATACAAATATATATATATATATATACAGTTTATTATATATATAAATATATATATAAATTACGTTCTAAACTAAAAACTGGAGCTTAAAGAACAGTCAAGCAACAGCAGTTGGCAGTCTTTTTTTTCTTGTCTCGAGTTGTTGTCTGCGTGTTTTGCGCAGAATAAAAAGACCTTGCTTTCGATTTTCAAAAACGCACACACACACACACACACACGTACACACACACTGGAGACAACAAGTCACAGTCAGCCGCACACACAACAAGAAACGTTTAAATTGCTATTTTATGCATCTGAAATCTGACTATGGAATACCAACAAACCCAAATTGCAAATAAAAATTAATATTAAAGCAAAAAAAAAATCAAATCAAATAAAATAAACTAAAATAAAAACAAAGGAATAAAAAAACTGAGGCAGCAGAACATCAACTTTTTTGATAAATACAAAGCAGTCATTTATAAATTGTATCAAAATGTTGTTGTTTTTTGTGGCCGCCCCTTGCCACGCCTACTGTGCTGCGCTGCTCGTAGATCAGCGAGAGCCAAGTCCAAGCCCAAGTCAAACCAAAAAATACAACAACA